AACAGAGGCTAGGCTGTCTCTTCTAGTTAGAGGAAGATCAAGAAAATAAGGGGGGGCATAATAGATCCAGGCCACATGGCAGCCAAAGTGTAAAGGGGGCCACTGCATGGCCACGAGCCACTCATTGCTAGCTATACTTCAAAAATCACTTTAGTTGCATTTCAAGTGATCAACATCAAGCCGGATGTGGTGGCACACGCATGAAACCCCAGCACTCAGGGAGGCAGAGGCAGGCGGGTCTCTGTGAGTTTGAAGCCAGCCTGGTCTACAATCGAGTCCAGAACAGCCAAGGCTACACAGAGAAACCCTGTCTTGGGGAAGAAAAAACAAAAAATAAAAACAATCAAGTGACCAACATGTATGGGCCAACGGGCAACACAAACCCAGACTATAGTTATCAGCACAGAGAATTATTTTGGACAGGGTTATCTTCAGCCAGACCTGCTGTGTAATTGGATTTTGCAGAGTATGGGTCTACAGGTAGACGAAATCATATTAGCTACGTTTCTTCTTTGTGACCAAACACCTGACAATTTCAGGGAAAGAAGAATTAGAGGATTTATGTGAGCTCCCGGTTTAAAGAGGGACAGCCCACCACAGTGGGAAGGCACGGTGGTCGGGTATGAGCAGCCAGTGGCAATGCCTGAAGGCAAGGTAGGGGCGATGAGTGCTTGAGCACCTCCTACTCCTCCCTCTACTCAGTCTGGAACTGCAGACCACTGCAGCCCAAAGCAATGCATGGCTCCCAGTAGAAGCTCATGGTGTGCGTGCGCTCGCACACAGATGCGATTAAAATGAATTACTTAGCATTTTCTGGAAGTTTTCTTCTAATGTGGCTTGATAAAGTACCCCCAATGAGAATGCTGCCAAGTGTGGGCCTCTCTGTAACCACACACCCATCTCAGAACCAAACACCTGGGCAGAGGACGAGGGAAGCGTAAAGCAGCACCACAGTGCCCTCTTGTGGCACCACACAGGACCTACACTCTGGGAATCAATCCAAATATAAAATGGTAAGTATTAAACATGGCGATCTGTGTTAAGAAAAAGGGATGATTGGAGCAAAGTAAGTCCTCCTTTAAAGAAAGTTGCCACAGCTTATCTGCTGAGGCCAACCATGTACCTGGTTATCGGCAATACAAGGAAACTTGCTCCCTGGATTCCATCTTCTGCATATTGTCTATCTGATCACACAACCACCTCCAAGGTCAAAGCAATACTGGTAATTATCCCTTCACCTGGCAATGTTCCTTCTCTCTTTCCTTACCTTCTAGGTTTCCTGATACAAACCATTTATTCTTTCCAAGTCTTGCTTGGACATTTCGTAAATGTATGTAACAGTCATGGCAAACAGGTTCTCAATCAAAAATAATGTGATTTTGATCGCTATTTGCAGGTTTTACAGTTTGCCACTAGGGCCTTGCACATGATGCCATCTGCATGTGGGTGGGCCTGGAAAGCAGGGCTCTCTGGCTTTGTGGGTCACACACGGTGGGACACGTCCTTGGGCGACAAGTCAGAATCACTGATTTGACCATAATGATCTCCAAAACATATACAACCATCCCTATTTGAAGACAGCCTCAAGGGGCCTCGCACTATTTGAGTCGGCACTCCTAATACAGTTTGGAGGAAGCTTCCTCAAAGGCAGCCTCAGTCCCACTGGCTGAGCCTATCTCTTGGGTGTTCTGTAGATTACTCCTCAGGTCTACGAAGGACTGTAAATTAGCTCTCTTGGGCGTTGAGTATGAATCTGCACTTTTACTAAAATTTCCTGCCACAGACAGGACAGCAATGTCAGTCCTGAGTAACTGGCAGGAAATCTCCGGTTTGGTGCTGCCTTATTTTTTATTTTTTGAGATAAGGTTTCTCTGTTTAATAGCCCTGGCTGTCCTGGAACAAACTTTGTAGACCAGATAGACGCGGAACTCACAGAGATCTGCCTGCCTCTGCCTCCCAGGATCAAAGGGTGTGTGCCACCATGCCCAGCTTTAGAAAGCCTTCATCCTGACACTCCTGGCAGTCTCTTCTGCAGAGCTACTCCATAGCAAGGGTTTCTCCGACAGACTGACACTACTGTCACGGCAGGTAGGTCTTCTGGACAATGAAATGGTTCCAATGTGATATATTTTTCCTTATAAAGAAGCCAGAATTACACTCAGAGATTTTGAAAGACTTGACTCTATGTGTCTGAGTGTTTGCCTGCATGTGTGTACCACAGATGCCAGTGAGTGCTGGTCACTGGAGCTGGAGTTTCAGGTGTTAGTGTGCCTGTTCATGCTAGAAACCAAACCTGGGTCCTCTGCCCTCCGCAAGAGCTGAGCCACCCTCCAGTCTCCACACTCAGATGTTTTTAAAGAATCCAATGTTATAAAAATGCAGACTATGAATAAATCCATATTGAAATGGCAATGTAAAAAATCATTATTACAGTTTTTATTGTTGTTTTCTTTTTTGAGACAGGGTCTTTCCACTACATAGCCCTGGCTGTCCTGTATTTCACTATGTAGACCAGACTAGCCTAGTCAGAGATCCACCTGCTTCCTGGGCGACAGGATTACAGGCACACACCATCACACCTGGCACTGATTAACTTTTAATTAAGTGCTTATCTCTAGAACACAATACAGTTAAAGACTTCTCACAACAAACTATCTTTCAATAATTTACTACATTTGATTTTAACCAAGAAACTGAGAAATGATTTATTCTTTTACTGAAACAATAACCATCTATTTTTCTAAAGGCAGCAAAGGTTTTCACTGTAAGCAGTCTGTAATATCTTTCATATTTATATCAGTTTGTTTCATTTAGACACGAGCGCAGGCAGACACACACTCCTCTGTGGATCTGCAGAAAGGACTGCTCTGAAGACATTACTTGATGGGTGCTTGCTGCAAAATCCACTCAGGATCTGGTCCAGAGGGCTAGGGCAGCTTCAGCAGGCTTGCAGAGGCAACCAGTGTCCAGGGCCTTAAGATACAGGTGACTACAGTTAAGCATGCACCAGCTAAACACAGCACCACCCACCATCTGAGGCCTGTGCTGGGCTCCTGCCAAATGCCAACACCATTCAGCACCACTGTACCCTCCAAACTCACTGTCTATACTGGACAAAGAATGAGGGATGTACTCTGGCCACTCACAAAGCACCTTTTGGAAAACAGATGTATGGTGGGAAGATCCCAGCAGTCAAAAATGTTACTAGGTTCAAATATGACCCTGACTCAAAGTCTGTGAGCCCAGCTTGTCAGGGCTGGGGAATGACGGGGGGGATGACTGCCTAGCATGTGTCAGCTCTGGGTTTATCCCCAGCTCACATACATGCATACATATTTGCGGCTCTTCTCTGACTCTGCGTCCCTACCCCATGAACAGGTGACCAGTCCTCCCGTCACCACAGACAAAGAAAGGCCGAGGCATCGGAGAAGAATGGTCTCCACAGTCCACGACATCTTACAATCACTAGGCTTTACACAGGAGACCAGGGACAACCCTCAGGAGGGCAGCTGGACAGGACCAGTCCTCTTCCACAGTGTGGCTGCCACCAACAATATAAACACTCCAACATGGACAGAACACAACGACTCGGAAGCTGCTTTACCACTGTGCTCAGACACAAATTCTGACCCTACTTGTCAGCATTTCTAACCTTCAGACTCCCCAACAGTGTGTACCCTGAAGCTCCCATATTAACCAGTGAGGCAGCTCCCAGCTGTAGGCACAAGCATGTGCTAAGCTCTCCCAGCAACCCTCTGCACTGCTGAGCCATGGGGCAGTTACTCATCACCACAGCCTTTACCGTCTCTAGTAGGGATGGCCTGGACCTCAGAGCTCATCAACAACGTTGGTTGGGTCTCGGCCCTCTGCAGCACTGTACTCAAAGGAAGAGTAAAGTGTCAGAACTCCACACACACACTAATTCACACCGGAACATGGTTCCTACCCACTCACACCAGAATCACAGCCCAAATACCTTACAGCCATCATGTGGCCTACTGGTCACTAATGTCTCAACACATTTCCTATGATGGAGACTAACCACACCCCTGAGATGAGCAAAGTTCAAAGAACACTTGCAAAAGAAAGTAAGAAAAGCCCAAGAAGTTCTGAAAGTGAAAGGTTTTCATCGTCCTCTAGTCTACAGGAAACAGAAGAAAAACTGCATTCCGGGCGCTTTACACACTTTCAACCTCGGCAGGGGAAGGCAGGTCTCTATTCAAGGCCAGCCTGGTCTACATAGCAAGTTCCAGGCCACCAGAGCTGCACAGGGAGACTCTGTGCCAACACTAATCACACATATCTGGAATTTAGGGTTCTGACCAATAATGTGGCACATGTGTCAAAACTTAATATATACACTTGTAGAATCTCTTACTATTCAAAGTGCAGAGACCTATGCAAGCATGTGTCAAGGCTGAAACCCACCACTGACTTCTGTGACAGCATGATCAGTAGAGTGAAGAGCTCAAGTCTCAGCCATGTGGATCTCAGATAAACCATTAATCCAAATAAGCAAATGACAGGCGTGTGAAATATAATCCTTGCTTTCTTCAAGCAAGCTCTAAGTTTAGGGGAAGGGAAGGAAGGCGGAAGAGGAAGAGGGAGGGAAGTGAGGGAAATAAATGCTGGACATGAAAATGGCCACAAACTTCCTCTGAGGTGAGAATTAGAGGGGTGGGGTATCTGTAGATAGTTGTATGTTTGAAGTAATTAGTTATGAAACAAAAATACAAAATCTCAAATGACAAAGATCTTGAATGTGGATTTTCTAAAAGGGGTGAACAGGTGCAGAACAGTTCTCCTGCCTGCAAAGCTGAGTGCTTTGCAGTGAGGGCAGTATCACCGCAAACCTGCACTCTCAGAATTCTTTCCAGATTTTAAGCCACGGTGTTCATTTCAGGGACTGTAAAGCCAGTAATGCTTATTTTCAGACCTGTCAGCTCGGCAAAGTTAAAGTGGAAATAAAGACTTAGACAAAACAAATGACTAACACTGCATAGTTTTGCTACACTTTATTCAAAACTGGCCCCACTTCTTATTTAGGAGAACTATGCATCCAGTGTGCAAATATAAATATTGCCATGTGTCGGAAAAATAACCTTCAGATTTGTGCTCTGACCCAAATTTGGCACAATTAAATCATATGCAAGTCAGACACAAACGTCCACACCTCGGCAGGAGTAAAATCCTGAAAGCAGCCCAGTGAGTTAAGACTGTACCTCCATCGAGCCCACACTGCGGAGAAATCCTCTAAGTCACACACACAGCACAGCGTGCACAGGTTCTTTTATTCTGTCCTGTGGGTGTCAACAGTGCTGACAAAATAGTGTTGGGACCTTCCGAAAGTGCACACCTGCATGTTGTCACATGGCGCTACATCATGACCTGGTAGCTACTGAACAGTAATGTCTACTAAACACAGTGAACAAAAGGCATGTTTACAACATTCCCTGTAAACAAGGCTGTGCACAACAGTAACACACAGAATTATGCATACCATATCAAGGAGGAAAATACCTCTTTAAATAAACTACTCTATGTATAAATAAATTCTGATTTTTTTTCAGTACACATTTACAGACCTGATCAATATAAAGAAACAATATATATATATATATTTGTTTTTCCTTTAAAAAGCAAATGTTGAGATATGGACCACATGAGAAAATCCACCGAGGGAAAAGGGTAGGGAGCAAGCAAAGGGCGTGAGAGTCATGAGAGTTAATTCTGTGAGCACAGACCAACACAGGACAGGATTGATTGGGAGCTCATTTTTACTTGAATTCCAGCAAGTTGCAATCAATCTTGTAATACACATAGGGGTAGTATTCTTGCTGACTCAGGTTTAGGCCAGGAATATCCATAGGAGCCTACGGAGAAACCACAAACACCCAGTTAGGGACTCCCAGGACCTTTTATGGACACCTAGTCTGAGCTAAGTATTCACTTTGTACTAAGTCCTGGAGCCTGCTGAGTCACTGAGAAACACATCAAGCAGAAAGGACAGGCTAAGCTGTGACTCGGACACCTACTTGACTGAACCATGACTTGCCCATGCTTTATTGTGTAGAACTGCAAACGGAAACCTTTTAAATCTTAGGTTTAGGGGGAAAGTCTTACCAAATGTAGTATCTAAATAAACCAAGAGTATTTTTAAAGACTCCAGGTGTATTTGCACCTCATAAAAATTTCCAGGCAGCGAAGTCTGTACCAAACACTTAGGATTTTTTTTTTTTTAATTTTTAAAAAGATTTACTTGTTTATTATTTACACAGTATCCTGCCTGCATGTGTGCCTGCACACCAGAAGAGGGCACCAGATCTCATTATAGATGGTTGTAAGCCACCATGTGGTGGCTGGGAATTGAACTCGGGACCCTTGGAAGAAGAGCCAGTGGTCTTAACCTCTGAGCCATCTCTCCAGCCCGACTTAGGATTCTTATATTCTCCATAATCTTGTGAAAATATAAAAAGTCATTTTCTACACTTTCTCTTATCAAGAAAACTAATTTTTTGTTATTCTGATATATGAGATAGTACTGTCTTATACAAACAACAAACCACACCAACTGCTTCTTGTCCTCTGTTTGAAAGCTATTTCAGAGCGGTGGTGACTCAGCATGGAGAGGCTGGGTCTTCCTCCACAGGACCTGAGTCCAGTTCTCAGTACCGATATGGCTGTAACTGCAGCTCTAGGGAGCCTTCCTCCCTCTTCTGGCCTCCTTGGGTGTTAGACACTCACTGGTGCACAGACAAGCACACAGGCACAACACCATAACGTAACATTTTAAAACCACTTTAGAGAAATGACAATTCCCTTCAAAGTGTTCATCTGAGCCAAAAAGATCAAAGAGATGGCTCAATGGGTAAAGGTTCTGGCTGCCAAGTCTCCTAATAACCTAAGCTTGAACCTGGGGCCCACAAGGTGGAAAGAAAAGTTACACACACACACACACACAGGAATATGCTAATTGCTAGTCTACTGACTCTATTATTTCTACCAAACAAAATTAAAATAATTTCGTATTTTCTTCTTCTCTGCAATTTAGTTTTTAAGAACTACTAGGAGCATTGGATGTCTGTGAACTTCTGCAACTGTAGACGTCTGATACATGGCAAGATCATGATGAGTCTAGAAATACCAGGAATAGCTGCAGCTAGTACACAACACGGAAGTTGACCTAAGGGAGGGAGATGCTCAGAGGAACAAGGCAACCGGTGCCGAGCACTTACTTGCTGTCCTGGGAAGACTCACTCTGCAGTGCTCTCCCCCTCCCAAGCCCTCTAAGTCACGTGCACTTACGTCAATGATAGCAGCCGCACTGCTGTCCAGATGTTTGTACAGCTCGTGTAGCACTTCTCGAAGCTTCTTCATTGTTTTCTTATTAGGCTGAAGGAGCATTGCTTGGAAGTTCACCGGCAAGCCGTACCTTGAAAAGCAGCAGAGACCGTGTGCACATGGCACAGACAGACACTTTCCTTTTAGAGCAAACATCCTCCCACTTCTCTTCACGGGCAGAGTGTATCCTGTCAGATACTCCTTTTACAAGACTGCCACCAGCCACAGACATTTATACTAGTGTGCAAACACAAACCTCTGAGCCACTAGAAATCTGCTAGTAAGAAGAATTGAGCCTTTCAGGGACCGGCAGCTCATGCTGGTGACACCAGCACTGGAGAAACTAAGGCAAAGGGCTGTGTAAGTCTGAGGCCAGTCAAGGCTGTAGTGGGAAAACACACACTGGGCATTGATTAATGTTCAATTTTATAGTAATCTCTGAATATGCCCACTACATAAAAATAACAGGGCTAGAAGCTACATTTATAATTTAAAACTAAGCTTTTCTATTTCTGCTTTAAACATCTTAAGAATTTAAAATGAGAAGCGTGGCTACAGTCAAGTCCTTGAATGATTTCTAACAGCATGTGTAGAGAGTCACAGGACAACTGACATTCTAGCTGTCTGGAATCCTGTCAAACTATGTGCAAAATATCTGAAAAAGCTTCATTTTAAACAATCATTACACTTTTTTTCAAAGACAGGGTTCACTGATGTTTAAACCAGGCTGCCCTTGAACTCAGAGAGCTGCCTACCTATGCTTTCTGCCTACTAGAATTAAAGGTGTGCACCACCACACACAACTTCGCTAGCATCTTACAATTCTTTCCGCACTTAGCTACAAATCATATGCCACATACTGATAGTGAAGCAAGAACCACAAAATGATGATGGGCCGAGGGCCGGGTGCAGTGGCACATGCCTGTAATCCCAACACTCAGGGAGGCAGAGGCAGACAGATCTCTGTGAGTTCGAGGCCAGCCTGGTCTACAAAGTGATCCAAGACAGAGACAGAGAACCTTGTCTCTCAACAAACAAACAAACAAAACACACACACACACACACACACACACACACACACACACACACACACA